TCTTCGAGCCCTATAATACTAATGCTTCTAATCTAAGACATACCTGGCAGTGTTTGGATGCACAACCTCTTAGTAACAGAACATCTTGTTTCAATTTGCTAGTAAATCAGACCTTTCGAAATGTACTTGTACTCTGATTAGTCTAGCTGCCTACAAAATGGCTTCTCTTATGACAAAATGGCTTCTCTTATGACATTTTGAGAAGGAAGGAGAAACTTTTGCACAGTACACAAGAATGTAAAAAAATAAAATCCAGCTAAAACAGAGCAAGACACTCTATGGAGCAGTGACAGCTAATCTTTTCGGCACTGAGTGCCAAACCTGGAGTGTGTGTGCGTGCGCCAGAGCACTAGAACCCAGAAGACAGCAGCTGGTCGGTGCGTATGCGCACGACAGAATCCAGAACAGCAGCTCTGGCACAGGTGCCATAGGTTTGCCATCATGGCTACAGAGCATCCTCTTCCTTCCTACAAAGGCCAACCCACTATCTGATGGGAAATTAACAGGCTTTGCTCAATACAGTTAGTCCTCTACTTATGACTACAATTGAGCCCAACATTTCGGTTGCTAAGTGAGACGTGTTAAGTGAATTTTGCCTCATTTATGACCTTTATTGACACCTTTTTTTAAGTGAATCACTGCAGTTGTTAAATCAGTCCCATCATTGGCATCCTTCAGTCTCAAGAGACTATGGTATCGTGCTCTGGATAGAGGTCCTAAAACAGCATCTAGTGTGACTAAAAAGGCCAATTCGAGAGTGGCAATCCCTTCCACACTGAGGGCAGATACATTCTGTCCCCTGCCCAGCCCCCAGATTTCGCTGGTTCCAGGACTGTCTCTTTGCATCAGCCTGCCGAACAAGTGTCTCTTCGAATTGGAGAAGGCCATGCTGCGTCTTTAGCCTCCAAGCTGAACGATCGGAGGTCAAGGTTTCCCAGTTGTTAATGTCCATTCCCAGGGCCTTTAGGTCCCTCTTGAAGATATCCTTATATCGCAGCTGTGATCTCCCTCTGAGGTGCTTTCCCTGCACTAATTCTCCATTCAGGAGAATTACGGAATCCGACCATCAGCCATTCTCACGACATGCCCCAGCCAGCGTAGACGTCGCTGTTTCAATAGTGTATACATGCTAGAAATTCCAGCACGTTCCAAGACTCTGCTATTTGGAACTTTGTCCTGCCAGGTGATGCCAAGAATTCATCGGAGACAGCGCATATGAAAGTTGTTCAACTTTCTCTCCTGCCGTGAGTAGTGGGTCCAAGACTCACAGCAGTACAAGAGTGTGCTCAGGACACAGGATCTATAGACCTGGATCTTTGTATGTTCCGTCAGCTTCTTATTAAGCCATACTCTCTTTGTAACTCTAGAAAATGTGGTGGCCGCTTTATCAATACGTTTATTCAGCTCAGTATCTAAAGAGAGAGTGTCAGAGATAGTTGAGCCGATGTACTGTGTAACAGTAACACATTTATTAAGTGAATCTGACTTCCAATGTTGACTTTGCCTATCAGAAGATCGCAAAAGATTATCACATGATGCCAGGACACTGCAACCGTCATAAGTATGAGTCAGTTGCCAGGTGTCTGAATTTTGATCACATGATCATGGGGATGCCGCAACGATCATAAGTGAGAAAAACGGTCATAAGTCACTTATTTCAGTGCCATTGTAACTTTGAACGGTCACTACATGACCTGTTGTAAATCAAGGGCTAGCTGTAGCATGCTCTTCCTTGGCTTTCTAGCAACAAGCCGCTTAGGCTGTTTCCTGAATGTTTTCTCCTCTCAGTACCACATATCAGCACCACCTCTATGTGGCCATAACAGAAGCACATCCTTGCCCTCACAGCTGTGCAATGCGGTGGAGCCCTAGCTGAGGGCCATTTATTAATTTCCAGGAATTCTGCCCTTGTCTCTCTCAGATGTGGATGGCCTCTTCTCATTGTCCCTTGTTTTCCCCTGGCTTTTCCAAGATATTCCTGTTTCCTTGCAGGAGATCTCAGCCTGCCACTTTCTTCTGATAGAGGTTGGCAGAAGTTGATAAGAGGTGCATATTTCCTCATCTGTTCAGACTGGGATGGTCATGACTTCACATCTGGTTATATTTGGAGCTTACGGACCAGGTTTCCAAAGAAGGAAAACTTCTTGATACATTTAACAGATTTAACAGATTAACAGAGTTGGAAGGGATCTTATAGGTCATCTAGTCCAATCCCACCCCCGCTCAAGCAGGAGACCCTACACCATTTCTGACAAATGGCAGTCCAATATTTTCTTGAAAGTCTCAAGTGATGAAGCTCCCACAACTTCCAAAGGCAACTTCTGTTCCATTGGTTGATTGTTCTCACTGTCAGAAAGTTCCTCCTCATTTCTAGGTTAAATCTCTCCTTGGTCAGTGTCCATCCATTATTCCTTTTCTGGCCTTCAGGTGCTTTGGAAAAGAGCTTGACCCCCTCCTCTCTGTGGCAGCCCCTCAGCCCCTCAAGTATTGGAAGATGGCTATCATGTCTTTTCTAGAAAAGACTGGACAACTACTTGACTGGGATTAATTTTTTTTAAATGGAAGGAGGTTTTCAAATTTGAATTATAGGTGCTCGGATGATAGGATAGCTTCAACATTTCTTCTCTGATCGGTACATCCGGCTTGATGAAATCTTTGCAGTGTCTAAATTATGCTCTGCAGCCATTACTTGCATATCAGGTAACCGCAGTGCAATCCTTGAGCATATTTACTCAACATGATACCCCACCATGCCACCTCAGTGTGGTACATGGAAGGGTGCCTTTATTTTTTGTTCTCCTTAAGTGAGCAGTTGCACCACCACCAAAGAATGATGGAATAGGCTGGCTCTGATTCTGGGTTTTATTATTTATTAGTTAATTTGGTTTAAAATGGGATTTTGTTGTACATGTTTTTAACTTGTGGTCACCACCCTGAGTCCTTCTGGAGAAGGGCAGCATATAAATACATGAAATAAATAAATAAATAAATAGTTTCCATAAACTCCCTTGTTATTTATCTTACTCTACGAGTCATAAGGTATATTTATCATACTCTAAAAGCCCAGTTGGTCTAGTGCAGGGGTGTCAAACTCAAGGCCCAGAGGCCAGATCTGGCCCGCAAGATGCTTAGATCTGGCCCACAGGGCCACCCTGGAAACAGCAAAGGACTGACCCACAGTGCCTCTGCCAGTGAAAATGGAGCTCCGTTTTCACTGGCAGAGGGTTGCAGGAGGCCATCGCAGCTGAAAATGGAACTCACGAGGGCCGCAGATGGCCTTTCGGAGCTCCGTTTTTGCTGGCAGAGGGTTGCAGGAGGCCATCGCAGCAGAAAACGGAGCTCAGGAGATTGTTTTCGCTGGCAGAGTGCTTGGGCTACCACAGGTGCCCCCAACACAAGTGATGTCAAGCTGGCCATGCCCACCCTGACCATACCCACTCCGGCACCCTGAGATCAAACACAACCCTGATCCGTCCCTCAATGAAATCGAGTTTGACACCCCTGGTCTAGTGGTTCAGGCCTGAAACTAGAAATGGGGAGACTGTGAGTTTTAATCTCACCTTAGACATGAAGCCGGCTGGATGAACTTGGGCCAGTCACTCTGCCTCAATCCTAGGAAGGAGGCAAGGGCAAGCCACTCCTCAAAAATCTTGCCAAGAAAACTGTTAGGATTTTTTCATCAGGTGTCAACACTGATTTGAAGGGGCATACACACACACACACACGCACGCACACACCAGTGTGGGTTGCTCCGGTTCTGTCCGGTTCTATAGAACCGGTAGTGAAACTGTTGGGAGGCTCCACTCACCCGCCTGGAAGTCATAAATGACAATCTGTGCATGCGCAGAAGTGCACCCATGCACGTGAGCAGCCCCGTTGCGAACCGGTAGTAAAGGTAAGTAGAACCAGGGGTGAAATGCTCCTGGTTCGGACCGGCTCGGTCGAGTAGGTAGCAATGGTGGCGGGCAGTTTGGAGATCCAGTAGCAAAAATCCCTGCCCCCGCCCCCCCATGCCCAGCTAAGCCGCGCGATCATCAGAGGCTTTTTTTCTTTTAAATGCCTCTGACGATCCCAGCTCTGACGATCCCAGCTGAGTTGCCTGATTGGCAGAGGGTTTTTTAAAAACCCTCTGACAATCAGGCAACTCAGCTGGGATCGTCAGAGCCTTTTGAAAGCATTTTTACATGGTTTTACATGTAAAAAATGGTTTTAAAAGTAAAAAAAAAATTGGCCACGCCCACCATCACATTACCCCCACACACACCAAGCCACGCCCACAGAACCGGTAGTAACAAATTTTAGATTTCACCACTGAGTAGAACCCACCCCTGGCGCGCGCGCATGCACACACACACACACACACACAAATGCCAAGTCCTTTGGACAAAGCTGTACCTATTATATAAAATGCTGATGACATTAAAAAAGCTGTAGGCCACTGCACAAAGGATTTTAATATGCAGAAGCTACACATTTACCTTTGAGGTTGAGGAATGGAAAGTTGAACTCTGAATTTAAAAAGGAGCACATTGAGATAGCAAACCTTCAATGAGTGTACCTTCCTTTCAGTTTTCATATGCTTTCTGCTCAGAAAGTGTAACATCCTACCTAAGTCAACAAGTTTCTTCGATGGCCTCATGAGCAAAATTGGTTGGGCTGAAGCAGCACTTTCTTTTTTTTTTTTTCTTGCCTCTCTCCTTCTTCATCCCAGGCAAGTTAGGTTTAATGTTTAATCTTTATTGAGGCTTGTTTAAAACTCACTGCTAATTGCAGAGGGCGAATCTGGAGGCATTCCTGAAGGCCAGGGCCAGAGCTGGACAAGTTCTCTAAGAACATAGAGTCTAACGAACAGGCTTTCAAGAGTGTCATAAGAGGAAGTTACTTCAGGGAGTTTGGAAACCTGGGACTTTCCTTCCCTAATTCAAGCCTGGGTGGAACCTTTATAAATATCAGTGTCAAAAAATAAAAAGGTGGAGATTGTGGGACCGGCAGACGTTGAACATTCGCTTGGAGTCATCTGGTTCTTGTGTTCCCAGTAAGTCATTTTTGTTTACTTCATATAAGGAAAGTTATATTCAAGAGAAAACTAAAATGAGAAAATATCGGTGTGCCTCTCATTTTGTGAATGTATTTGCTGCTATCTATGCCTCCTGGATGGATAGAATTCTGAAGGTCTGTGGGAAGTTATTGCATGTATCAGCCTCAACTCTGGAATATTTCATGACATCTTAAATTGTGACCTGTTGCCAGTTCACACTTATTTTCTTGCTGTGAAACTTACTGGTTGTTGATTTTGGGGGATCAACTTGGAAAATACTGCATTCAGTTTTGGTCACCACGATGTAAAAAAGATGTTGAGACTCTAGAAAGAGTACAGAGAAGAGCAACAAAGATGATTAGGGTATTGGAGGCTAAAACATATGAAGAACGGTTGCAAGAACTGGGTATGTCTAGTTTAATGAAAAGAAGGACTAGGGGAGACATGATAGCAGTGTTCCAATATCTCAGGGTCTGCCAGAAAGAAGAGGGAATTAGGCTATTCTCCAAAGCACGTGAGGGCAGGACAAGAAGCAATGGGTGGAAACTAATCAAGGAGAGAAGCAACTTAGAACTAAGGAGAAATTTCCTGACAGTTAAAACAATTAATCAGTGGAACAACTTGCCTGCAGAAGTTGTGAATGCTTCAACACTGGAAATTTTTAAGAAGATGTTGGATAACCATTTGTCTGAGGTGGTGTAGGGTTTCCTGCCTGTGCAGGACTACAAGACTTCCCTTCCAACTCTGTTATTCTATTCTATTCTAATATGTTCTTAAGACACAGGAACTGGGTGAAACCGGTGGGAGATTTAGGGTGTAGTAATGCAATTTTAAATCCCATAATTATAAATCTTAATGATAGCTTCCTGTGATCACTAATTAATGTTGTTAGGGATAAACACCATTTTGTATTAGAAAAGAAATTGTTAAAGTAAAATAATAACATGAATAACCATAACTGTAATTTCAGGGGTAGGGGGAGAGCAGAAATAGATGCCAGAGTGAACAGCTTCCATGCCTGTATCAGCCTCCAAATTCTTGCTGGTTCTGTTTACTCCTGACCTCATTACACGCCACCCTCACAGCCAGTTGAAGGGAAATGGGCACACGGTACCTTCCATCGCCCAATATTGTGTAAAAGAGGGAATTCCAGCAAGTACATCACAAGCTGAAGTTCTTTGTTCACGTCAAGTTTGGCATCCGCTCAACAATGTATACATAGATTTGCCAACAATTTTTCAGGCAGAAACCTGAAGCTGAAACTTCATCTATTTACTTCCTGTTCAAGTATGCTGGAGGACATTGAATTCAATGGTCACAAAAAAAGGAGAAAAAGCCTCAACTGACCCAAAAAAAAAAAAAAAAAAAAAAACCACCCCAGCATACATTTTCATAAGGGGTGGGGAGATAACAGCAGTACTCAGGGATCCTTCAGGATTATATATTGGTTTCTTTGTCACACACAAGAACTCAGAAATAGTCTATAGTGATAGATTTTATCCCTCTTAGACTTGGCCATGGGGGGAAGTTTGGCTGTTGAAAAGAAGGGGGAGGATGTATAGGACATACTGTATAGTTCAGCAATCTGGAGAACATAGAACTTGATGGCAGACCAGCTGAAAGTGTGGGGTTGACTCGATAACTTCCATCTAATTCCCAAAGAGCTCTTGATATAAAATAGGTTGAAAGAAGGACTTTTGAACTACTGGAGTGAGGGCAGTGCAGTTTCTTTCTCCGTCCCAATTTTGGGGAAGAGGGAAAACAATTTTCATGGAGCACTATCCAGGCTATTCCACAATAGGAAATGGAAACGGCCAGGTAGATTAATGCTCTTCAATCAAGAAAATAAAACTAATAATTATTCATTCACTGGCAATTTGGACAGTTCAGGTTTTTCTCAAACACCCCCTTGCCTGGGACATTGAATTCGATGGATAAAGAAAAAAGGAGAAAAACCCACAAGTGACAAGAAAGTGACAAGAAAGTATGACAGGAAAGGAAAGATGGAAAGGGGAAGAGGAAGGAAAGGGGAAAGGGGAAAGAAGGGGAAAGGAAAGGAAAGGAAAGGAAAGGAAAGGAAAGGGGAGGGGAGGGCAGGGGAAAGGAAAGGAAAGGAAAGGAAAGGAAAGGAAAGGAAAGGAAAGGAAAGGAAAGGAAAGGAAAGGAAAGGAAAGGAAAGGAAAGGAAAGGAAAGGAAAGGAAAGGTGTGGGAGTCTTAAATGAACATTTTGTCACCAGAGCTCTATAGTACAAAAGGGTCCTGTTTGTCAAAAAGGTTGAGATTTTGTTGGCAATCAAATTAATAGAATTGCATAAGAAGACTATTCAGGATATTAAGACATTTGTCTGAATCGCAAACATACTGTTCTTCAAGTGTCATCAGTTGAATATCTGAAGGCAAACTGATGATGATGAGAGATGTCCATCAGAGCTCTAAGGCCACCAGATTGGAGAAGACTGCACTAAAAAGCTTTTGCTTCTTAAATGAAAATTGCTATTTTTTTTAGGTGCCAGGATGATACTCTAGAGCCCTTGAGAGTTTGGGTGGTGCACTTAGTTATTCTTTAAATCTTATCTTTGGGAGAAGTCAACAATTAATAAAATTATATTTTAAAAAGGAAACAATTTGAAAAAGTTTCCCTGCCAATATCCCAATTAAGCCCAATAAGAAAGAAGAAATGGGTTAAAACTTTTATCTCTGTTCCCTGAAAGGAATTAAGTTGTAAGTACTTGTGTGCATGTGCATAAAATAAAATAAGTACTGTAATAGATCTAATCATGGCAATTGTGAAAGGCTAGCAGAATATTTGTTGTTTGTTGATCTCCAACATTTTTCTAATCTTCTTTTGATCATCATATTGGAATTTCCAAAAGGAGATGGGAACCCTTTCTCTCTAGGCACTGTAGAAGCACATAGCAAACCCTGCCTCTGAAACGATTTGGTGTCAATAATCTATAGGCAGAAAGCCCAAAAGACAAAGATAGTTTGGAACCAATATTGTTAGAGTGTTTAGAAGTGATGCTGTTATATCATGAAATGTTTCCCAGTATTTCAGGATATAACAATAACTTCACAATACAGTATATATTTAAACTGAATGGACTTGACCCCCTGTCTAAGGGAGGATTTTCTTCTAAAAAATATAAATTGTGTGACCTTTGTGAAAGCTTCCCCAGATAAACAAGCCATTTGGTTGATAGTGGCTCCGAGATAGCAATCTGGATCTGGATTCGGATCCAGATCTGGATCCAGATCTATCTATCTATCTATCTATCTATCTATCTATCTATCTATCTATCTATCTATCTATCTATCTATCTATCATCTATCTATCTATCTATCTATCTATCTATCTATCTATCTATCATCTCTATCTATCTATCTATCTATAATCTATCTATCAATCTATTGTCTATTGTCTATCATCTATCCATCTATCTATCTATAGCTATTATCTATCTCTATCTATCTACCTATCTATCTATCTATCTATCTATTTATCTATCTATCATCTATCTATCAATCTATCATCTATTGTCTATCGTCTATCCATCTATCTATCATATATCTATCTCTATCTATCAACTATCTCTAGCTATCTATCATCTCTATCTATCATCTATCTATCTCTATATCTATAACCTATTCCAAGTGTACACCAACTGAAAATTTTATTTATAAAATTTTCAAAATTGAATTTTAAAAACAGAGTAAACCACATATGGTCATCAGAGACATATTGTTTGTGAATGGATGGTTGGTTCTCAGTTACCAAAGCTAAGACCCATCTTTAGAATTCTATCTTCCACTACATTTACCCTTTCAAAATAGTATTTATGCTATTGGCTTTAATGATGGGCTCTGCCAAACAATCCTATGAATTGATTTAATTTTATACATGGTGTATATTATATATTGAATGACAATCCTTATGCCTGCACTGACATCTTTGTTAATCAGAACTTGCTTTGGATTAATTCCGTCCATCTCTCCTTTTTTCTAGAACCAATACTACTGTGGTTACTTCCAAGCTTTCCCCCAGAGGGAGGCCTAGTTGGGACCACGTCCTGCCAAGATGGAAAATCTTGCTAATTTCTCCTGCTATGACCCAACCCTTCTTGGTTACCGCTACATGTCAGTGTCTTGGGGCATTATGGTCACAATAGTGGGCACAGTGGGCAATGTGTTAACTCTGTTGGCCTATGCTCTTGACACCAAACTGCAGACACGCTTCAACATTCTCATTGTCAACTTGACTTTGGCCGACATCCTGTATTGCACCTTTTTGCAGCCCTTTTCCGTGGACTCCTACCTTCATCTCTACTGGAGGGCGGGAGCTGATTTTTGCCGTGTCTTTGGGATGCTGCTGTTTGTCTCCAACTCGGTCTCCATCTTGACTCTCTGTCTCATAGCAGTGAGCCGCTACCTCCTCATTGCCAATACAGCTCTCTTTGACCGTATCTTCACCCGTTTGGGAGTGATACTAATTTCTCTGGGGACCTGGGTCATTGGAATTGTCAGTTTTGCCCCCCTGTGGAATGTTTATGTCTTGGTCCCCAAAGTCTGTACCTGCAGCTTCCATCGCATCCGTGGGAGGCCCTACACCACCATCCTCCTGGGCTTCTACTTTGTGGTGGGCCTGAGCTGTGTTGGCATCTTTTATTTCCTCATCCATCTCAAAGTCAAGAAAGCTGCCCAGGCCATGGATCAATACAAACTGAAGAAGACCAGCTTGAAGGGGGCTCAGGCTCATGTAGCTGGAACCAACTCAACTATACCAGGACAATACCATGAGCTGGACAGTGGGGTGGACAGTGCAGCAGCTTCACAGCATTCCTGTGAGGGTCTGCCCTCTGAGCCAACTTCTAAAACCAGCATTCCCCCAAGTTTGGACAGCAGCACAGCTCCTCCTGTGGCCCAGCCTGTGATCCCGTCAAAGAAAGCGACCCCCTGCAAACCCAAGGATAGCTCCGAATTCCAGCGAGTGACCCGCATGTGCTTTGTGGTTTTTATGTTCTTTGTTCTTTGCTATATTCCTTTTTTGCTCATCAACATCTTTGATGCCAAAAACCGGGCTCCAACTCTCCTGCACGTGATTGCTGCCAATCTGACATGGCTGAACAGCTGTATTAACCCTTTACTTTATGCCGCCATGAACAGGCAGTTCCGTGAGGCCTACAAAGGAGTGATGTACAACTTTGCCCAGAAATTCCACTGCTGCCGCTAACCTGTTGGGAACTGTACACCCCTTCTCCTCGTGGCTAAGTTCTCTGACCATCATTTGTCCTCCAGGAACTGCCAGGAAATTGCCTACGCTTTCACCGAGGACTAAATTCCTGGAGTTTTAACTTCTGTTCTTATTTTTACTGCATTTTATCCCATCTTCTGTGGCAGCCAATGGGGGACTTTGTAAATCAAACAGAATTGACTGGCTGAACCTCAGTCTGAGTAGTTGAAGACTATGAAAACTCTACCTTGGGTCTGCATCTAAGAAGGAAAAAAACTGGCCATGCCAGGTTCCCATTAATACTGCAAATGTTGCCCTTCATTGTCTGGTAGGGCAACCTGCTCTCTCTTTGTAATAGGCATGGATTGTCTGTACACCAGTTGCATGTGTACATGGTACATATTTTTGTATTATTATGTATTATTTCTGTTTTGTGTTTCATTGCCAAAAACACTTCGCTTCTAGAGCTCCTCCCCAAATTCCAACCTCCTGTCTGCTCCCAGATCAAGTAAAAACTCTTTGTCCTTGTTTTCACAATACCTGGGTAAATTTTGTATTTGACCATTAGTAACAGGTTTTCATGCAAAAGTTTTTCCAGGTCTATCTATCTATCTGTCTGTCTATCTGGAAAGACCTTGGATCTTCTATTTTGAAAACATATTTATACCCTAGAATAGAGAGGAAATATATTCTCTCCAGGGGCGGGTTTCAAAACCAGTCGCTACTGGTTTATTCGTGGGTGTGCTCGTGTGACGCTTCTGCACAGAGCCTCCCGCCACCGCTGCTGCCACCGCCGCTACCAGTTTGCATGATCCGGGGCAAACCGGTAGCAACCCACCACTGATTGCCTCTATTCTAAGCCATAGTTAAGGCTTAGCCCATATCTCTTCAGTCTTTCTTATCTTTCAGATATGTTCAGCCAAATCTCCCATCCTCAGCTCTCCAAGATCTTCCAGTTCCTCAGATGAAGCTATTCTGCCCCTTTTGCTTTCTTTCATCTAGATGTCGTTCAGTAATCAGTAAAGCTATGAAGGATAGATCCAGTTATTACTTGGATGGGAAACCACCCAAAAAATCTCAAGGCTGCCAACCAGAGTTGGAAACTAAAAAAATCCTTTAAAAAAGACAAACCACTTCTATTTTGCTGCCAAGAAGATGACATAGGTCTATGCAGTCATCAGAAATGAAGCTCCCCTGGAGAAAGATTTTCTCTCCCGTTAGATCTCTCATCCAAACTCACAAATCTTTGAGACCGTTCATTTATTTGCCACCCCTAATAAACAATCTAGTCTTTCTCTCATTATTTTCCTCTAGCCCTCATCATAGCTCTCTCTTTTATGATGGATTGTAGATTGTAATTCATTGAATGTAGTTGGTGTGCTAAAGCATTACAACATATAAAGGGTGCTTACGTACTACTAAAATTGTCGTTGTATTTATCTGTTTGTACCCTCAAGTTGGTCCAAACAGCGCTTATACTGAAACTATTTTTCCATCTAAAATCTGCTATCTTAAAGAATGCATAAATATATCTGGAACACATTACTTCTATGAAATTGAAATTTCCACAATGGCCAGACCAGTTTTATTTGCAAAATTGAGGCCACTGCAGCATCCCAGCAGTCATATGATCATGATTTCTGACACTCCCGATCAGCTTCCCATAAGCAAAATCAGTGGGGAAGTCAGCAAGAAGTTGGAAATTGCTCCTGCTCCCACTGCTCCCCCCCCCCCCGGTCATTCTGTAAGTAAATTTCTTTGGTCATTTCTTTAAGTAAAGAAATATTTACTTACTTTTGAAGTTCATTTGCCAATTATTTTTCCATTTTTGATATATACTCAATCAATCAGAATATAGCTGGAAGGGACCTTGGAGGTCTTCTAGTCCAGCCCCCTGCTCAAGCAGGATACCCTATACCATTTCAGACAAGTGATTGTCCAGTCCCTTCTTTAAAAACCCCAGTGATGAAGCACCCACAACTTCTGAAGGCAAAGCTGTTCCACTGGTTGATTGACTTCACTATTAGGAAGTATCTCCTTAATTCCAGGTTCCTTCTCTCCTTGATTAGTTTCCATCCATTGTTTCTTGTCCTGCCCTCTGGTTCTTTTGTGGCAGCCTCTCGAATACTGGAATACTGCTATCATATAAATATGACAGCATATATGATAAATACTGCTATATGCTATGCTTCTTAGATGAGCATGGGATTGTCAACTTTGAGGTTAAAAAATATACATGGTCAGCCTACAATTTAATGTTCATTCTGGTCGCATCAGACTGCTCTACCTTTCTCTCAAAGGATAAGCCAATGGGTGATGGAGTTGTCTAATATCTATCTAAAAATAGTCTTTTGGTTGTGCTGCTCATGTCAGAAAAGATCAAAATTGACTAAGCCAATATATTGGCATCCTTCAGTCTCAAAAGTCTATGGTATCATGCTCTGGAAAGAGGTCCTAAAAACAGCATCTGATGTGACTAAAAAGGCCAATTCGAGAGTGGCAATCCCTTCCACACTGAGGGCAGATACATTCTGTCCCCTGCCCAGCCCTCAGATTTCGCTGGTTCTCGGACTGCCTCTTTGCCTCAGCCTGCTGTACAAGTGTCTCTTCGAATTGGAGAAGGCCATGCTGCGTCTTTAACCTCCAAGCTGAACGATCGGAGGTCAAGGTTTCCCAGTTGTTAATGTCCATTCCCAGGGCCTTTAGGTCCCTCTTGCAGATATCCTTATATCACAGCTGTGGTCTCCCTCTGAGGCGCTTTAAATATTTCAGTAAAAGAACGGGTGGGTGCAAATATGTGGAGCCCAGTTTTTGTGCCCTTGTTGTTACAGTAGATGAAGAAATTAGAAGGCATGCAAAAAGTCTACTTAGAGTAGCAACACCTAACAAAAGATGAAAGAATTTCTATTTATTTTTTAATCTACAGAAAGAGATGCTAATGATTAATAGACAAAACACGAGACAGAATGTTTTACAAAATACCTCATCTATTAGTACAGCAATGTATGTATATAATGTGTAAGTAAAGAATTAAACATGCTCAAAAGGTTTCACTACTAAGACTGCCCAGTCAAAAGGATTCGGAGATGACTCTTCTTCTAGTTGATTTGATTTTTTTTTTTTACTTTTTCAACCAACCCGTCCCAAATGGGGAAGTTGCTTCTGCCCATTGAGGGATAGAGGTTGCTTTTGTGGGTTATTTCAGAATTTCTACAATTCTGCTGCAACATCCTTTTTGAAGTGAGACCTGATCAGATCTGTACACAATGTGCACTGAAGCAAAGAAGGGTACATAAAGTGAGGAGGGGGAAAAAAGCAGAACCTGCTGGAATTCTATCTACTATCCAGTTATGAAATATTTGCTGCCTCCACCCGCCTCCCAGTTTCCTTTGCATCTGGCCACCTTTTAGCTAAAGGTTCTATGCAATGATTTGATGAAGGATGATCTCTGTTTCTCCTTTGGAAACCCTGAATGATCTATTACAGCCATTGAGAATCCAACTGCAAAACAGACAGTTGGAAGCTCTTGTTTGCATGCTTAAGTCATTGTTTTTCTTTTTTTGTTTGCTCTAAACTTTCAGCAAAATAACGGATGATTTTTTAAATTGCCTGGGATGGAATGGATTTGGGCCCCATCCACTTTCACCATGGCTTCCTGTGTAGTGTCGTTGTCTGTCCTATTGCTCAAGAACTGAGATTAGCGAGACAGCTGGAATGGCTTTTGAAGAAGAGGACAACTCTATGCATGTGGAAAGGGGGACAAATGACTGTCAGTAAGGCCAGGGTGGGGCTCCAGATCTGAGCTGCTTGGTAGCTCACTTACAACTTGGTCAACATTTCTTCCAGCAGGACTCCCATGCTTTAGAGGGCTATATCGGGACTCATTTGTGAGCAGTGGGTAGGACTAGATGACCTCCAAGATCCCTTCCAACTCTGTTACTGCTACTGATGTCTTCACTATCACTATCTAGAGTTGCAGCTTTTTTCATCCCTCTTTCTGGTCTGGATTTTTATTATTGTTATTATTATTTAGCATATGATGATGTTACCTTAGCCAGGAGACTACAATGCCAATACACTAATACAGAGTAGTAGTTTGGCTGCTTAAGACTGCTAGCCCTGTTGGGTTCACACTCGTGCACTTTCTAAGGTGTGCCACACAAGGGACGAGCTATCTCTACAGCTCTCCTGCAGTGTCACCTGCGGCCCTCACCCTCCATTGAAGCCAACTTGCAAAAGGAGCTTTGCACCTGGAAAGGACCAGCGCCAGCAGGATTCTAATCATCCACACGAAGCGCCAGCTCTCGTCTCCCCACCAAAGTGGTACCTATTTATCTACTTGCACGCTTTTGAACTGCTAAGTGGGCAGAAGCTGAGGTGAGGGATGGAAGCTCACACCACTATGTGGTGCTAGGGCTTGAAGCGCTGAAACAGAGACCATCTCCAGTCCTTAAGCCACTGAATCATTGCGTCCCTGATCTGGATGAGAAGCTGTCAGAAATTCATGCCAGACTGCAGCTGCTAAAATAGAATTCTTGATTTTTTTAAAAAAGAAATGTGTTGATCCTCTTTTGATATATTAGTACATTCCTGAAACCACCTTCTCCCTCCCATCAAGATATTAATCAAAGCCAGATCTGCTTGGCTTCAACCAAACTCCTCACAATCTGTGCCACATGGCCATTTCTGTTCTGTTTGTTCTATATAGGATTAGACCATGTGCAAATATGCTTTTTTTTATTTTTGCTTCCTTTATTTTTTATTTTTTTCTAAATTGGCCCACACCCTCCTGCTGACTTTAGCAACTGAGATCACACAGATGAAGCAGGGAAGCCGTTTCCCTGCCATTGATTTCCTAGGCCAGGAAAATTCTGTCCTGTTTAATTTCTTCATTATGAGGCTGCTGCAGAGGTGAAAAAAACAAGACCAGGAAATCTACTTATGGCTTTCCCACCGTTAGAGGGATTTATATGCTGCCCTTTGCAATATTTACCTCAGGTCAGGTTTACTGTGCGAATTAAAGCGATACACGGTAACTGGAGTGACCTAATATAGTAATAGGAACATAAACTACGAACACAGGTCAACAATGAACCACCAAGATAGACAGATAGACTAACAATAATGAGGAGTCAAAAGCACAAATAAGAACATACAATACAGTTACGATAAACTTGATATATATTTGAATTTTTGTTTATATGTTTACATGTTTTGTATGTTTTGTTGTGATTTGTTTTGTTTAGTTTGTATTTTCAAATAAATAAAAAATAAAGCGATACACAGCAAACTATTGCTACATATGCAGAATAAAATAATCTTGGTAGTTAACTTGATAAAATTCTTTCTCTCTCCTTGCTATGGCTGATACCGGTGTCTGTAGATGTTTCTGTATGCAATATTAATTGATGGGCAAATAAAATAATCTCAGAATAACTATTGACACACTGTTAGGTAAACAAGCCTTTGGTACATTATGTTACTCAAAGAAATAGAAGGAATAAGGATGTGGTAGATCAACCCGGAAGCTCTTGTTCCAGGCAAATTTGTTTTTGAATCTTTTCAGGAGTCCTTCGGCACTTCTTTCTGGAAAGTATATGTCAGATGTAAATGCCTTATTCTCTAATGTGTAAATAGTATATGAATGGGATATCAGGGGTTAACTTATTCTTCAATTCTTAATGTATTCATGATTCACCACTCCCACTTATAGCTCCACCCATTGTATATATAAGGAGCCACCTTCACCCTTCTACCCTGCTTCTATCTGTGAATATTCAGTGAATATAGAATGCCTATTGTAAATAAAAGGAAGTATATTTAAACCTTTAATTCTTACTATCATTATTGAGTCTGATCCAGAAAATATTGCAACAAGCTGGTAGCAGAGGATGGTTAATTGACTCAATAAAAACTTTAAAATGTCTAAGAAAGATAGGCCCAACACCAGGACCTACAGCAAAGAAATGGAAACAGAACAAGAAATGATCAACGAATCCACAAACGCAATTTCAAGAGAATCCGAAGTATACACCACTGAAGACGAAGAAATAATAGATGAAAATGATGACCAGGAGGAAATCGAAATAGAGAATAACGAACTCAGGTCAGAGATATTAAAACTATTAAAAAGCCAGAAGAATGATGAAAGCCTCATCGCGAACCTCCAAGAAATGCTGAAGAACAGCGGAGCAGCGAGAGAGAAAAACATCACTAATGAGAAGCCTAAAGAACCAAAAACAGTGAGTGATATGACTACAGAGAAAGTCATTACGAAAAAGAAAAAATGTGATCCTGCGCGAAATTTTGAATGGCAGCCATCTTGGTTTCAACGGACCTCCAAGGTGGGCGAAGCAGAGCCAATCAAAATGCTCGGTTCAAAATTTCTGGTGCGAAAAACGTTATCGGACAACGAAAATGAAAAAGAGGATTCAAACTCCTCGGAAGAGTCAGAATCAGAAAGTGAAGATGACTCAACAAAATCCCAAGTAAAGTCAGCGATGAAAACGCTTTTTGCTGCATTTGGGCCAAAACTAAAAATTACCAAAAAGCCACCGAAGAAGAGAGCGATTAAGCCGATACCTCAAGACCTGCCCGCTCCCATCCTGACTTCGAGAGCGACGATGCCCGAACCTAGAGAGCCTTG